GTGTACGTAAACGCTTTAATCAGTATTGTTACGTAAGACTGAATTTTCGAGAAAACCTTCCCACGGCTATAAATATAACCAACGCGACACGCCAAGGTGAGTGTCTATTATTAGTTCGCTATATATCGGAGTGTTATAACTGTGATTGTTATAACGCTTATCAGTCGGAAAACTTAAAATATCTGACCAGGACTATTTATAAATTTCGAATGTTACGCATCATTTAACTTCAGTGGATTCTCATCGGATATTAGTAATTTTATGAAGACATATAAATTCATCGTGGAAAACTTAATGATAAGATATCAAGGAGGTTCCAGACTAGAAATAAAAGTTTATATTGTTTGTAAGTTTGTGAAACTTCTGTTCATAAATAATTGTTTGTAATAATTGTTATTGTAAATTGTACTGTTGTGAGTATAATAAAACGTATTTGTGTTAAAAACGAAGACGGTGTGTATCAATCTTGTTGGCAAATATCGTAAATTGACTAATATATATAATATAATATAATATATATCGGCATATATTTAAATACTAAATCCAAAGTACAATTTAACTACTAAATTTAAATTATCAGTTAACTCGGCTTCGGACTATTCGAATTTCTAATACGTAACAAACGTAAATGGATATGATTTTGGTATTAAACTTATGTGGACATGGTAGTGGTATTAACCTTACGCTAATGTGGTAATGGTATTAAACTTAAGTGGACATGATGATGTTTTCAACTTAAGCGGGTGTGGTAATGGTATTAACCTTACGCTAACGTGGTAATGGTATTAACCTTACACTAACGTGGTAATGGTATTAACCTTAAGTGGACATGGTGATGTTTTCAACTTAAGCGGGTGTGGTAATGGTATTAATTTTAAGCTGTCGTGGTAATGGTATTATCCGTAAGAAGATATGGTAATAGTGTTAATCTTAGATGAACGTGGTAACAATATCAACCTTAGGTAGTTATATGTAGTTGGTAATTTAAGTACTACGACTAGTATCGGAGTTAATTAAAGCAAAAAGCGCACTCTATAGTTATTTTAAGTATACATAAAATACTGATCTCTAGTTAGTGTGGAATCCAAGAATAACTTTCCGCTTCGATTTTAATTTAACCGTTGAAACTTAGATTTATTTTGACATGACACCTAGCCGTTGTCACGCATAAACTTAATATACGCTACGCTTTTGTCACGCACGGTTTTTTGAGGCCCTTCTTTGGTTCGTCGGGTTGTAGAGTTACGGCAATAGACACTGTGGGTCAGCACTCTGACGTGCATGTGCTGAGGAGGCGGAATTGTATTTCGATTGGTTCAGCTAAATGGCTGAATAAATCAAAAGGTGAAATTTAGTGATACGAAGACTACGTGATATGATGAATTTTCAAGTAAATTTTGGTGCTGAAAAAGAGTATATAGTATGATGAATTGTCAAGTTAATTTTGGTGTTAAAACGTGTACATGGCATGGTGAATTACGAAGTTAAATTTTGTGACAAAAGACTACTTTAGTAGGATTAATTACAAAGCTATTTTGCATATAAAAAGATACAATGTAGAGTTAATTACTAAGTTAATTTTGGTAATGACAAGACTACATCGTATGTTGAATTACTGAGCTTATTTTAGTGATAAAAAACTATAGGATAAGACGAATTACGATACTAATTTTGGTGATGAAAACTAAATTATGGGATGAATTAAGATACTAATTTTGGTAATAAAACTACATGATGAGATGAATTACGATACTAATTTTGGTGATACAACTAAATGGTAGGGTGAATTACGATACTAACGTTGGTGATGAAAACTAAATGGTAGTTTTCACCATCAAAATTAGCATCGTAATTCATCCACCAAAATTAGTATTGTAATTCATCCTACCATTTAGTTTTATCACCAAAATTAGTATCGTAATTCATCTCATCATTTTACCATTTAGTTCTCATCAGTTTTCACCATCAAAATTAGCATCGTAATTCATCCGAATGATGGGATGAATTAAGATACTAAGTTTGGTGATTAAAAAGTTTCCTGAAACTTTCCAGTGAAGAAACAGGGTAACATCAGTTTGTTACATTCTATACTTTCGTAAAATAGCGAAATGAGTAAGAGCTCATATTATGAAATTAGATTAACATGCTGTACGTGTATTTATCTACTAATCTGAGCAAATTAACCTATTATTCAGAGATGAACTTTAGTACAGCTAACAGTTTAAGTAATATTATATATTCTTATGTTGAAATTAATCACCAGTTAATGTTAACCTGATTAGGACACGGCGTAATGGCTTACTGCATACAATATGTCTATCTTTTCAATCTAGGAGTAAATATCATTTGATCATAATGATCGTTGAGACGAAATTTCTTTTTGATGTTAATTGTGTTTGTGCTACTCATGTTATGAGTAACAGTAATTTGTCATTAGTCAGTCAATGTATCTAACCATACTTGTGTTTAAAAAGCTATCAAGCTAGGTGTTCAAGTTGTGACTCAATTGTTGCCTGTTGCTGGAGGACTCGAGACCACAACAATCGCGTTCTATGATCTTGTTTGATATATATATATATAGTTTTCCATAGCCCCCCCCCAGTTGCACAGCGGTATGTCTGGGGACTTACAACGCTTAAAACCGGGTTTCGATACCCGTGGTGGGCAGAGCACAGATAGCCCATTGTGTACCTTTGTGCTTAATTTCTAAACAAACAAACAAGTTTTCCATAGGTTATAGGGTATAACAGCTATAACGTTGCTGTACACTTTAAAATATTTTTACACGTTTCCATTCTACGTTATATATAGTAAAAGAGTTTACTTTAGGTAGGAAACCCTACTCCATCTCCAGAAGAGAACTACAGTGTAGACTTTTACCAGCTGTAAAATTCGTCACCAATGGAACTATTTTAAACTATATATATTAGGAGAATTGTTTAATGTAAAGAATATTTATATGTTGACAAAGCCTTATAATAATCGCGATTATTTATTTATGACAAATCATTGGTGAAAATCTAAAGGTTCTGGGAACTTTCTACAAAAGCAGACATGTACAATATTTCCACCTTCGAGAAAGTTAAAATTTGATTAAAACTAAGAGGCTAAACTCTTGCAGTGGAAACATGTTCATATAAAAACAGCAAATCACTCCGACAGCATCCTGTTTACTTACTAATTTTTGTTTTTCAGGACAGCAGCAGCAACAACAACAACAACAACTTCGAACATTCGCCTCAACTTTTGGTCAAAGACCAAATTTTCTACACCCGCTTCAGGAATGGGAGAATCTCAGACGAAAACGAACGGAGCAGTGGGCGTTTGAAATTCCTCGCTTGTTACCGGCGCCTCCCGCACCCCCACCTCAAGGTAGGTGTCAGCAGTGTATGGAGTAAACTTTGCAATGTGTTACTGTTTTGGAAATGTGCTGCGGTGATATGATGTCTTCTACAGATTCAATGTATATACAATTTGGTAGACCAATGCATGCTTTACGCTGTTTTACAGCTTATCGTGATAGCCTGGAAATTTATTAACAAAAACACCAAGAACAACCTAGCAATTTATTAACAAAAACACCAAGACCAACCTGGTAATTTATTAACAAAAACATTAAGTCAAACTCTGAAGCTTTTGAATATAATTAAACAAGAATAAAGCAAAAACTTAAAGATCGTATTGATCCAGATCCCGGCTTAGTAATCATAGCTTTCAAACTTGGCTTTTTGATCTAACCATATACCATTAAACCACCATATACAAAGTAAATATTAGGTGCATCATATACGTATATAACGTTCAAGCATTATTGTATTCACAAAGAGATGGACTCGGAAGGATGATTTATCCACGTATAAAAGTAGCAACAGTAAACATTTAGTGTATTTCAGGGTGACCAACTATGCTGATGTACTTCAGTTAAATACTGTGTCCTTCGGTGACAAAATATCCTGCTGCACTTTAATTAAGTTATCTGTTTTGTAGGTAATAAAGTATCCTGCTGCACTTTAGTTAAGTTCTCTGTTTGTAGGTGACCAATTATCGTGCTGCACCTCATTTAAAGACTCTCCTTCTAGGTGACAAAATATCCTGCTGCACTTTAAATTAAGTTCACTAGTTTGTAGGTGACAAAGTATCCTGCTGCACTTTAATTAAGTTCTCTATTTGTAAGTGACTAATTATTCTGCTGCACTTTAATGAAGTTCACTGTTTTGTAAGTGACAAAGTATCCTGCTGCACTTTAATTAAGTTCTCTATTTGTAGGTGACCAATTGTCCTGCTGGACTTTAATTAAGTTCACTGTTTTGTAAGTGACAAAGTATCCTGCTGCACTTTAATTAAGTTCTCTGTTATGTAAGTGACAAAGTATCCTGCTGCATTTTCATTAAGTTCTCTGTTTGTAGGTGACCAATTATCCTGCTGAACTTCTGTTAAATACCCTATTTCTTGGTGACCGTTAAGTAGTCAATGTTTTTAAGTTTTCTTAGATAAACGCTACATCTCCTTCTCGCTCTGATTTTTCAAAAATTGAATTTGTATATATTGGTTGGGACCTGTGACATATTTGTCCAAACTCATAACTATGGTCTAGGTTTTCACCCTTCACGTAATATGGAAGAACAGACATTAACTTTGAAGTTATAAGGAAATAGGGTTTCATTAGTATATAAGAAAAACTTGATTTCAAATTGGCGAATATTGTATACACGTTACATGGTGCTGTTACATAGTTGATGCACATTTTATGGTGCTGTTACGCTACATAGATGATGCACATTACATGATGTGACAGGCACGTTGTATAATGCTGCTCTATGTTATATTGTTTTACATGATGTGATAAACATTATGTGATGCTATAACACGGTGTGATAGGCATAGTGTGATCCATTTTAGGTTGTGTTACATGATGTGAAAAGCGTTATATGATGCTGTAACATGGTGTGTCAGGCATAGTGTGATTCATGTTAGGGTGTGTTGCATGATGTGATAATCATTATATGATGTTGTAACAATATCTAACAGGCACATTGCATGATGCTGTTTTTTGTTCTATTGTTTTTACGTGGTGTGATGAACGTTATATGGTGCTGTAACAATGTGTAGCAGGCATAGTGTGATTCATGTTAGGGTGTGTTGCATGATCATTATATGGTGCTGTAACAATGTGTAGCAGGCAGGCATTTTATATACGTTCAGTTTGTTTATTTGTTCCTTGAAAAAAAATCAAACATGATAATGAAACAGGTTAATTGTGAGCTACACTAATTATCTACTTACCTTAAGTACTTTATTACTATGTAAAGCATGCCTAATCACCTGTTGGATTTGTGGCGAGCATGTCTTTATTCTACTTCTACGAAGGCATCCTTTGGTTCTTTTTTTTTCTTTTATAGAGCATGCGGTCATAATTTAAATTTAGATCGTAAGCGTGTCAAAAGTATACAGAGCCCAAAGCGTTGCCCTCCCATACCTGTAAGGGTCGCGGGTTCGAATCCCCGTCACCAAACATTCCCACCCTTTCAGCCGTGGGGCGTTATAATGTGCGGTCAATACCAGTATTCGTTGCTAACAGAGTAGCCCAAGAGTTGGCGGTGGGTGTTGTTGAGTAGCTGCCTTCCCTCTAGTCTATCAATGCTAAATTAGGGACGGTTAGCGCAGCTAGCCCTCGTGTAACTTTGCACGATATTCAAAATAAATCCATCCCTGTATTGGATTAGGATGACCTTTGCCCTTTGTAATACCTGGCATTTGTTTGCTGTCATGAACGCTCATATACATTCCTATGCATTTTGTGTGTTTAAACTGAACACTTGTCGTAAAGTACTTTATTAGTACGAGTCAACATATCTAATGTTAGGTACTCTAAAAGATAATGCCATGCACAATAACAGACCTCACTTAGTATGTAGCCCCCCCCCCCTCCAGGGAAAAGTACATAATATGCAGACTTAATAAATTTTCACATGTGAACTACCTCCCAAGGGAAAAGAAAACTCGGCTTCGTTGTTTGTAATACCACACCCTCAGTCGTTGTGGGATGGTATTTAAAATTTCCTGTTATCAGACTCTCCCTGCTTAATAGAATCATGTTTACTTATTAGATAGGGACAGGTTATTTAAGTCTTACGATGTCTTCAAAACACTTCCAAGAACCAATAATCAAAACTGGAACTGAAACATAAAAAACGGTTACCCCCCACCTTAGTTGAGTAGAATATGACTGCCCCAATTGGGTTTCCTGGAACCTTTTGTGTTACTTTCATAAATTTCAACTTTTCGTGATACAACCCAGTGTTAAACAACTCATTGTTAGAAGGTTTATTGCTCAGTGCACGTGGTGCGAAATTCCCGTCACGTATCGCAAGATCTATCCAGAAAAAGAAGTGAAACGTGAATTTTCAGCACCTGTGCCGTTTCGCCGTTATGCGTGGTCTACAGGAATTATATTACGAACTTTCAGGAATTGTTGAAAGTTTTCAAAATTCGAAATACTTTCGGGAGATGGAAAAATGTGGTCAGGAGATTTGTATTTTCAAATTATGATTGTCGAAATTTCCAGAGAAACAAAAAAATTGCTTTAGACCATTACAATTACAAGTTCACTAAATTTTATTTTGTTGGTTTTCATATGTCTCTAATTCTTTATAAACACTTCTATGTGTTTTGTTTTTTTCCAAATTCTGGTGAAACATAATCTTAAAGTTTTTTGCATTTTGAAAATTATTTACGACCCCCTACAGTGATGTACATTTTTTAATACGTAATTGTCATGAGGTACTCGTGAAACGTTGCAGGAAAAAATGTACTTTCGTTATACATGTACAAACGTGGAAATTTCAGTTTTTGCCTTTCCTGAGTGATCTGAACACGGACCGTTCACACGCCAAGCGAGTGCTCCACTAGTGTTTCTTAGTAAGGCACATTTCAACAAATTAAACTACCACACGTACATGTAACTTATGAAAAAAAGTCCGTTTATCTGCTTCGGTTATAAAAAAATATACAAACCAATAACTTACTATTGTTCTAATTTAAGTGCAGGTGGAAGGAATTAATTAATCAGAACGAATTAGTCAAGATTTTACAAATTTCGCCGTTTTTCATAATTTCTATATGAATAACAATAATTGATCCCTTCACAACTGTAAAACTCATGATTTCTTTGCTATTTTTAGGGCTATCAAAGGAAGTCTTTTCGGAGTCAGAAGATTCTGTAGAGTACAGATTTTTTAAAACATTAAATTGGTAGAAAAAGTTTGGAATCAGAATGATTTTGTCAAAATGTCTTGTTTCTTTGAACCTCAAAACTGATTATAACTTTAAGATACTAGAAATAATATGAAGCCCGAGCTGTTCTTCAACCCATCGCTTGTCACTGAGTTATACCGGTTTCAAGGAATATTAGTAACCTTGGACAAGGGCAAACCAATAAAACAAGGCTAGGCTTCATATAGTTGTGGACTATATATGTACGAATATTTCTTTACTATTTATATTAGAACTAACATAAAAAATATTATTTTTAGAGTCAAGAGGTTTTATTGTCACATATTGAACCGTCCTATATCTATTTATCTATGTATATTAGGTTTTTAATAACACGTAACTTTAATTTGGCAATTGAACACGAGTATTTCTTCCGTGAAGCTACCTGATTGGATATTCATCTGTTAAACTGTTTAAAAGCTGCTGTGAAGCTACCTGATTGGATATTCATCTGTTAAACTGTTTAAAAGCTGCTGTGAAGCTACCTGATTGGATATTCTCATGTTTCCAAAGCTGACGTGAATGACGAGTTGCTGTTTTTTATAGGCTAATCAACTGTTCAGCTTTTTAAAAGAAGAAGTAAAACTGATTAAAATACAGGGATGCCTATAAAGAAAATCCCTATACTTAAAATAATTTTATCTTAAAAACTATTCTTCCTTACAGAGAACAAAATGCCGCAATTAGCACGTTGAGAATCACAAGTTTTAATAATGAAAGTTTGGACATGGTGAATGGTATATTTAAATACGATACATCACATCTTATGCGTGTGTGTGTATACAATATTAGCCTAGTTTTTCATATTATTTTTGTCACTCACTTTCTACTAATGCAGGGTCAAATGAATAATAATTTTCTGAAGTAAAATTCGAGGGGGAATTCCCTGCTAACCGGTATAGGTTCTTTAAAACTAATGAGAAATAAGGATATATGGAAACGGGTTTATTATTATTATCGCTTAGGACCATCACCGGTTGTTGTTTTATTAAATGTATGAAGTGATTCACACAGGGCCTGATTAACACATGTACCGAGGGATCCCCCAGAATATATTATAATAAGTTAAGTAATAATTCAAAATAAGAATAGAAAACAAT